ACACCACTTAAAGGGCTCAGGCCAAGTCCTGTTGATGGTAAACTCCTCTTGACTTCACTGGGAGCAATGGTGGACAACCAACAAAACAGACAGATTATTGGCCCTCAAGGAAATGGGTTTATTACTAAATCTGAGAAGAAGGTGGCAATCACAACTGAGACACTGAGAGCCAGAAGGTATGGACTCAAGCCTGTGCTCTGTCCCAGATCCCTATGTGGCGCTGATGAAGTCATCTGCTGGAATGAATTAAATGTTTGCCTTGCTGGTGTCAATGGCAAAATTCCCATTTACCCAAATGGATCTCTCTGTAAATAGGAACAAAAAGTGAGCTATACATCCCCTCTCACAATGTCTTGTATATTTAATTAGAGGCTGTCTCTTAATCCTTGAGGCTGGGGCCATTTCTTGGGAGTTGCATGTACAGCATCTAGCATAGTAAGGTCTGATCTAAACGGAGGTCCATGGGTATTGCTATTATACTGCTGCTAATGGTTATTTTTGTGCTGATTTCATTTACCATGGCTTTTACCTGCCTGCCCAGATCATGAAGGCCTCTGCCATTGCAGGCACCATGGCATAGAATCCTATTCATCCACTGACCCAGCTCCTTGTTAAAAGCAGGTAGGTTATTTGCCTCCACTAATGTGTTTATCTTATTGCCAGCACTCATCTACACAAGAACCATATTAATATAACTATTACTATTGCGTGTACCTGCAGGCAAAGCCACATGGTCTAATTGCTTGACATTGATATTGTTCTTGAAAGCTGCCAGAAGTGGCTGTGACATGAATTTTCAGACAGGCCCCACTGCCTGCTTCCCAAGCAAACACAGCTCAGCAGGACTCTACAGTACTTCAGAGAGCTTTCTCCCTATATAACACATCTCTCCTTCCCCCAGCTGTTGCAGTGGGTCCTCAGACAGCCTCCAATCCTGAGTCTGATGGCCTGGGATGTAAATCCACAGTGATCCCACCTAAGCTCTCAGGTCTGATTCTGCAGCATGGGTACTGTAGTGATCATGTCATCCTCTGCACCTCAGCCAACTAGGCACCGTGCTGCTGACTGATCAGGCTGTATCTGATGGCTGCTCTATACCTGTTGTGCCATGTTCTTACTCTCTTGACGGTATGAGCCCGCTAGAGCCAGGGCTCTGCTTCTGAGCCATGGTGCAGCTGCTTTGTGCCAACCTTCTGGCATTTTTGCCAGCTGTCAGAGGATCCCCCCAGCACGAGGGATCCTTCGCTGAGGTCTACCACCAGCTGTTCACCTCCCCCCTGAACAGGGTGTGTTGGAGTAGTCACAAAGGGAGGCAGCGTGGCAAGAGCAATGGGTTCCCGAGAATGGCTGCTCAGGGTCTAGGAACCAGACGCAAGTTAGTGTGGTTGCTCCATGTATTTTTGGAACCCAAAAATACTCCCTGTCCTCTCAACAAGGGCAGGCAGAAAGGTGACATGAAACAACCTTTGCTGTTCTCGCCACAGACCCCCTGGATCTGTGTCAAGGGAGGTGAGTTTGAGCCCAATGGTGCTGTGCTAAAGCAAAATACTAAACATGCAAGCAGGATCAGGTCTGCCCTCCAGAGAGGTGACTGACCATGGTCTCTTCCAGGCAGTAGGGCAGCAGGCCAAGGCCAGAGCTCAACAGATCAGAATCAGGTTCATCTTCTCCAGCTGGATTGAACTGCCACGGGCATCTCTGGCACAATCCAAGGCAACTGCCGTTGTGATGAATTCCCTCCTTGTCAGAAAGCTTTGTCAGCTCTTCTGGTCAGGCCCAGTCTTTCACCAGCACACCAGGCCTGATCTTGACAGAAACCTTTGTGAATGGCTGTAACAGAAATTTAAAAAGTATGTAACCACAGCTCCCCAGATAACACCCTGTGAGGGTGACGTGGCAGTCCAGGCACAAGCCCATGGCTTCTGTTACCTTTCCAGTACAGCAGTCAAAAGAAAGACCTTTTCACATGCTAGAGAGCAGTCAAAGCCATGTTTCATAGGATACCTTAACTCTGCAGTGTTGAAGAGGACAGGAAACATGCATCATGGGGGGCATCCATTGTATCATGACCATGGCTCCAACATGTGATAACCAGCCACCTCAGAGGCCTTCACTCCTTTTCTGTAAATACTCTAACCCCAGGAAGTGGGCATCTAATGACATGGAGATAAAATTGGCCCATGACTTGCAAAACTAGGGCAAGTGCTAAGAGGTGTCAAGCATCCTTATCATCTCCCAGAAACAAGCCCTTCCACAGAACAGAAAATGCTAGCCTTCGGTGTACTGCTGGTTTAATCAGGGATTTGCAAAATGATTGTGCACCTGTTTTGTATAACCTTTAAAAAGTATGCTCCATACAGGGCTAAGAGGAGATATTTTAGCTCCTTCAGCCACTACAGAACGAGCAGGTTGGGACGGCTGAGGTAACCTGACCTGGTTTTCTTAGGCTATCACTAAGGGTCAGAGTTAAGGGGATTTAGGTGCTTTGTTTGGAACTGCAAAAGTAATTCAGGATTCGCCTGGGTGTTTCCAGCACTGCAAGTATGGGTCAGTTGTACCTTGCCACCAGGTCTTAGCTACCAGGCTTGAGACTGATTTATGGATTTAAAAAAGGAGCCAAACTCTAACTTAAAATGGAAACTGGGTTTCAGCCTCAGGCCCTAGTCTTGCAAACAGTTGTACACAAAAACACGTGTGCTTCACTTCTCTGTCAGGAATATATAGTGGTGGTAGTGAAATGATACACGTGCCTACACATTTGCAGAACTGGTATCACCTCTCTCGGGGCCTTATCCTGACAGGAGCCAAACTCAGTGGAAGTTGAGGCAAATGGGGGTTTGTCCACTAACTTCACTGGGAGAAAAGGATAAATCCTTAAAGTACAGTCTGTAGGGGCTGTGTTCCCTTTCTCTGTACCTCATGCAGCCACTTGTACCTGTGCCAAGCAAGTATAAAATGTTCTCAGATGTGAAAAGATACTCGGGCATGTGGGTCAGTGTGAGGCAATACAGTCTGGCCCCTACTTGTTCTGTAGTCCCATTGGGATGGAAGAGGTTTCAGATCCTCAGAGGCTGAAGCCCCACTCACTCAGCCCTGGTTTCTTTGACATTCTTAACTTGTATCCAAATGTTTAAAAGGAAGGGCAAGAATAGGTTAGTCAGGGTTTATAGTTATATGGAATTCTTGGAGGAGATGACCTAGGCCAGGGGTTGGCAATTTTTAGGACTAGTGGGTCACTAGCATACGCCTCCGCAGAGCCCCATCCCTGTCTGATCTGTGCCAAGGGCTGCTGTGGCATGCCTCTACCTCAGTCTCTGCTTACTGTCGCCACCTAGTGCTACCAATTCCAATTGCCAATGGCAATGGTGAGCACCAAATTCTTCTGGGGGAAGCAGGGTGAGAGAGTAGACCACAGGACCAAAGCAGGAAGGACTCCAGTGGCAGCAGATGACTTGGATGCTGCAGAGGGGATAGGTGGCACATGGCAGAGGAATGCACGATTCAAGGCAAAGAAAGTTCCCCTGCCACTGCATGCCATCGATTTTCTCCCCCCACTGCCCCACCACTGTGGGCCAGATCGAAACTCTCTACAGGCCAAATCCAGCCTCTGGGTCATAGGTTGCTGACTGCTGGGGTAAGCAGACATGAGACTTCCATTACAAACCAGGCTCTGGTCTCATGTACTCCTTGACTAATCCAGAGTGAAGTCAGTTTGGATTTATGCTGGTGGAATGAGGAGCCTAAATTTACCCCACTCTACACTATGTAGGTTGCAAAAAAGGAGAAGTATCATTTCCATCCTACACCCACTCACGGAGGTAGAATTCCACTGAAGAGGAAAGGTCAGGAACAGTCCTCATTTCATCTCCTACATTTCGCTCACACAGTCAGACTTTGACAGGTTTACAAGGCTCTGAGAGGATGCATATTTCAACTGAGAAGAAGAAACCTGTTTTGCAAGATGCTTTTGTTGAATCTTAATGCCTCAGAGCTTGGCAGCACTTTAAGGAAGTCCGGCAAATGCAGTTCCTAACTAATTAATTAGCTAATAGGACCCATGACCTCCCCACAAGTTAGGTACTGTATTTTTTTTTAATGCAAATTAAACTGCAAGGTCAGATGACTGTCTTTAACCTCTGGAGTGGTAATTGAAACACTAGCATCCCGCACGCGGGGGAAAGAAAATGAAGACGACACCAAAATCATTCAAAAACAGGATTTTTTTTTTCACGTTCACCAATTTTCAAAAACTACAAAAAACCCCAAGGTTGTAACAATGTAACAGTGAAAAAAAATGTTGCTGCATACAAAAACAGAGCCACACTTTTGTGTCTTTTTAGTTTGCTTTTCACTTCTTT